GTTAAAAAAAAACAAAACAAAACAAAAACCCCCCAAACTTATCCCACTTACAATGCCTCGGTATAACATCCTAATTTGAAAATGTCCGGGTCAGCAATTTCGAAAAGGTGGCAACTTAGCGATCTATGTGAAGACGTGTTATCGTGTTTTCCCTTTGAGTTAGGCGTGCTGGAAGATCATTAATTGTATCGTGTAATTATTCGACGATAAGAATGGGCGATTCTGAAGATAAAACAACTTATGCAGTGTGTGCCATAATAGTAGCGGAGCTGGAAAAACAAAACGAAAACAAACGGCGTAGAAAGAGGGGGCCTACCAAAACTTGGATAAAAAGACGAACAGATAAAGGGGCCTTCTTGAACTTAAATCTAGAGTTGAGAGGCGAGGATCCTACTTCATACAGGTACGTTGGCTAACATGGCAATTAACATAACGTAGGGAGTTTGATGCCCTTTAACAAATATAATTAACAAATTGCATGTTTATTTCCAGGAGGTGGCTGCGGCTAACAGAAAGCCAGTTTAAACATCTTTTGAATGAAATTTCCCCCAGAATTCAGAAGCAAAATACAAAGTTTGGGAAGCCAATATCTCCCGCTGAGAGACTGACTGTCACGCTCCGGTTTCTAGCCACTGGAAATACATTTAGAGACTTATCTTGGGAATTCAGAATTGGCGAAAGAACGATATCTTACATAGTCACGGAAACATGTGCCGCTTTGTACGAGACCTTAAAATATACATTTCAAGTGCCAACATCGAAGGAACATTGGATGGCTATTGCCAAGCACTTCCAAGATCGGTGGAATGTGCCCCATTGTTTGGGAGCCATTGATGGAAAGCATATTGTGATGAGGAAGCCCATCAACAGTGGTTCTCATTACCATAATTACAAAGGGACTGAATCAATTGTTCTTTTAGCAGTTGTGGATGCAAATTACACATTTCGGTAAGTTGATGTGCAGAAGGGAAGAAACAAGTCTATTCTGTACTTCCAATGCCTTGTTAACAATAATGTGTATATCAAAATAGAAAACAAGTGATAATAATTAGTAGATTTTTAATTAATTTAATTATACCAAGGGCTAAAAGCATTTTCTTTATTTTGATTTTCTAGATATGTTGATGTTGGCACACAAGGTAGGATCAGCGATGGAGGTGTGTGGAACAAATGCAACTTAAAGGAGCTTATAGATGTAAATGCTCTTGACATACCTCCAGCTCATCCGCTTCCAGGTCAAGACATAGTCACACCATATGTCTTCTTAGCCGATGATGCTTTTGGCTTGAAACCGTATATCCTGAAACCTTATGGTGGAAGTGATTTGACTCTGGAAGAACGGATATGCAATTACAGGTAAGCATTCAGTGGCTAATGCAACTGCATCTTGCAGCATTTTACCAGTAGGAAAAGGGTAGATGGTATAATAAAAAAAAAACATGTGATCTTGAAAAATTGATAGAGCAATAGTTAGATTAAACATATCTTTTAATTGTTTTTAGAATTTCACATGGCCGCCAAGTAGTGGAGACAGCTTTTGGAATTTTTTCAAACAGACTACGGGTGTTCCTGAATCCCATACTGTTGCAGCCAGACAAAGTGCGCACATTAGTACTTGCTGGTTGTGCGCTTCACAACTTTTTAAGGAGCCATGAAAACACAGCATCATGGCCAGTCGATTATGTGGACAGAGAAGATGTGGAAACCGGTATCACTGTGCCTGGTGCATGGAGGAGTGAGATTCCTGTACAGCCCGGGACAGATATACATCTTCCACAAGTGGCCACCACCTACTCCAACTTTTACAGCTCAGAGGCAAAAGCTGTAAGGGATAACTTTAAAGAATTTTTCATGTCCGATGTTGGTGCCGTTTACTGGCAACATCGTTTTGTG